AATAGTCTTAAGCCTATGTCCTCTGTCATTCCCCAAGCCTTCCCTTCATTAATCCTCCAGGCCCTCTTTGTATTTTCCTCTTTTTTGAGACAAGTTCTTCCTATGTTGCTCAGGTGGACTGCAACAATTCTCCTGTCTCAGTCTCTTGAGTAACTAGGCCTTCAGGTGCATGCCAGTACATCCTGCATCTTCTTGAGGATCTGAAAAAGCAGCCCCAAGCATCTTACTTACTTACTTCTTTGATAAAAACTGATCTATTATAAGTGACGGGCATTGAGAGCAAAAACTTACTAAATTCACTACCTTGAAGCATGGCCTACATCATTACGCAGTATTCTGCAGTGTTGGCTGTTTCCCCTGGTGATCACTAGCCCAGGAACAGATGTAGACTCATAACTGTAAGCATGGTTTGTAAGCATGTTTTTGGGTTTTTTTTTTTGTTTTTTTTTGTTTGTTTGTTTTTTCGAGACAGGATTTCTCTGTGTGTAGCCCTGGCTGTCCTGGAACTCACTCTGTAAACCAGGCTAGCCTCGAACTCTCGAACTCAGAGATCCGCCTGCCTCTGCCTCCCAAGTGCTGGGATTAAAGGTGTGTGCCACCACCGCCCGGCCTGTAAGCATGGTTTATTAAGAGGGTATGGCTTGTGTCTTAGCCATGTGTTCTAATGCTGTAAAGAAACACGATGACTATAGCAACTCTTATAAAAGAAAGCTTTTAATTGGGGCTAGCTGCCCCATAGGCTGCTTCTCCAGGTGGGAAGATGGAGTGTTGAGCTGAGTGAGACTAAAGGTAACTGAGCAACTAAAGTTGAGGACAGATTTAGGGTGCTGAGCTCAGAGAATTGGGGAGGGCGTGCCAGCCGTGGGAGATTAATAGTGCCCAGCACTTGAGCCAATAGCACAAGTTGAAGTTGAGCAATGTGTGTGTCTGTGTTTTTCATCTGTGAATCCAATATTCTCTGGGTGGAGGCTGGTAGCATGGCCCATTCCTGGAATTAAGGCAGGGTAGCAAAAGCTACAGGCAACACCCAGTGATACATTTCCTCCAACAAGGCTACACCTACTCCAACAAGGTCACACCTCCCAATCCTTCTCAAGTAGTGGTACTCCCTGATTTCAAATATATAAGCCCATGGGGCCATTCTTATTCAAATCACCACAGCTTGTTTTTCATTTTGAGACAGAGACTCCCTGCGTAAGCCCTGGTTGGCCTGGAACATAAGCCCTGGTTAGCCTGGAACGCTAGTAAGTCAGGCTGACTTTGGACTCACAGATATCCACCTGCCTCTGCCTCCCAAGTGCTGAGATTAAAGGTGTGCACCACCACACAAGTTGGATACCTTCCTTCCTTTCTTTCTCTTTTTCTTTCTCTTCCTTCCTTCCTTCCTTCCTTCCTCCCTCCCTCCCTCCCTCCCTCCCTCCCTCCCTCCCTCCCTTTCTCTCTCTCTCCTTTTCTTTCTTTCTTTTCTTTCTTTCTTTCTTTCTTTCTTTCTTTCTTTCTTTCTTTCTTTCTTTCTCTTTCTTTCTCTTTATTTCTTTCTTACTCTTTTCTCTCTTTCTTTCTCTCTCTTTTTCTCTTTCTCTCTTTCTCTTTCTTTCTTTCTTTCTTTCTTTCTTTCTTTCTTTCTTTCTTTCTTTTTCTTTCTTTTCTGTGTGTGTGTGTGTCTGGGAGGAGGTTAAGACAACTTGCAGGAGTCAGTTCTCTTCTACCATGTGGGTGGGGCCTGGAGAGCAAAACTAAGATTGTCATGTGTAACTTTGCCTGCTGAGTTATGAATTTTTTTAACCATAAAAAAGTTAAAAATAAAAAAAAATTCACAAGTCAGGGGCTATCTGTACATAGCACTAGCAGATGAACATTTTCTCTTTGAACCAAACATTACCCATACACACAATCAGATTATGTAAATCCCCTACAAATTTCCTTAATGTCAGCCATCCAGTCAATATTTCTGACTTATCAAATCATTTGAAGGGTCTCATAGTGAACTTGACTAATGTAGATTCATCCCTGCCCCCCGACCCCAGCTGTCTTTTACTTTGTTTTGGAGTGTGGGGTGCATGGGGTTGGCCTGTGGTCGGTTTTCTGTTTTAGAGTTATTGTTGTAGTGATGAAACACCATGACCAAAAGCAAGTTGGGAAGAAAGGGTTTGTTTGGCTTAAACTTCCACATCACTGTTCATCTTGAAGGAGACGAGGACAGGAACTCACACAGGGCAGGAAACTGGAGGCAGGAGCTGATGCAGAAGCCATGGAGGGGTACTACTTACTGGCTTGTTCCCCATGCCTCGATCAGCCTGTTTTCTTATAGAACTCAGGACCAGCAGCCCAAGAATGACCCTACCCACAATGGGCTGGACTATCTCCCTTGAATCACTAATAAAGAACATACTTTTCTGCAAGATCTTCCTGAGGCATTGCTTAATTGAGGTTCCTTCCTTTCAGATAACTCTAGCTTGTGCCAAGTTGGTAAGACTAGCTAGCATGCCCTCTCATGGCTTGGGTTCTTTCTGCATTTCCTATAGTTAACATCTAATGGCTTGATCAGATTCAAGTTTGATTTTTATTTTCTGGTTCAGAATAGATGGCAGATTTGATCATGTTTTACCTTAAAGTCTTCCTTCCTCTTTTAAACATTAAGGTAGGGCATGAGTGAGGACTGTGTCATAGGACAAAGAAAGAAAGAGAGGTGAGCGTGCTTGTCGACTGTGCACCGCAGAAAAGCAGCTAATAGGCTGCGGGGTATGGGGGGAGATGTCTGTGTCAGCTTTGAGGGTTGCTATAATGCTAAAGCACAAGCTGGGTGACTCCCAGCAACAGAGCATTCTTACTCCGCTGGAGGCTGCAGTCTGAACCCAGTGTCTGCAGACTCTCAGGGGTTGGGTGGGGAGGGGTGGGCGGATTCTGTCTTCCAAGCTTCTGGCACTGCCAAGGATCTGTGACTTCCCTCGGCACATCGGCTGCGTCACTCTGTTCTCTGCTGACGTCATCACACGGCATTCTCCCTGCGAGTCAGTGTCCAGATTTCCCTCTTACAACAAGGACTTCAGTCCCATTGGACCAGTGCCACCCGCATGACCTCACCTTAACTTGATTCCTCCACAAAGACCCAGTTTCTAAATCAGGTCAGTGTTGTCAGGTAAGCCAGGCACGAGGATATCAGAGAGTCTGTGAGAGACAGTTCAACTCACCACAGCCATTTAAAAGGATAGGATGGTGTGAGCTCGACCACACCATTAACATGCTATGCTGTACAATAAAGATGGAACGTAAGGATTACTTCAGGCAGAGGTCGGGTGTAGCTTGGTGGTAGGAGGGCTACCTAGTATGTGTGAAGCCCTGGGCTTGGCTCCTATACTGAAAGTAAGTGCACACACACACACACACACACACACACACACACACACACAGAGGGGCTAGCATGTGTAGAAGACTGCTCACCTAGCATATGCAAGAGTGAGTTCAATCCCCAGCATGGGCACTAACTGGGTATCGTGGCATGTACCTCTTATTCCAGCACAGGAGGATAAGAGTTCAGTTATCTTAGGCTACATGAGTTTGAGGTCAACCTGGGCTACCCAACAGCCTGTCTCAAATAACAAAAGAGAAGAAATGTCCCCTAGGCGAGACTCACTGAGCTAGCAGAGGTCTAGGGCCAGGAAGGCGTCACTCCCCTTAGCCTTCTGTCCTGGTCTGCTGGCTGTAATACTTCTAGAAACTCTTGTCATGTTCTGTTTTAGGAGCAGCTCTTGGGGTGATTCCTAATCAAAAGTGTCAAGTATAGAAGGGACCCAAGGGCCACAGCACCTGAGAGGGCAGGGAGGGAAAGGAGAGGCCCTCATGAAGTAGCCGCTGGTCCTGTGTGGTCAGGTGTTGCTTGACAAGCAAAGCCCAGGATTGGGGCTAGGAGGAGTACCATGCCAACCTCACAGGTGGCAGCATAGCCTGGCACTGTCAAAGGAATCAGAAGCCTGGAGGTTTTGGTGAAAACTTGCAGTCAAAGGAATCAGAAGCCTGGAGGTTTTGGTGAAAACTTGCAGTAAACAGCCTATGAACCAGCCCGTCAAGGACTTAGATATGTGTGAATGTTCATGAATGTTTATTTCAGGACTCATGTCACTTGAATGCCATTCCAGAGATGTACTGGGCATGAGAGGCTCTGCCTCTGGCTGGATGCCTGTGTGGACTTACTCTCCTGTGGAGGGGGATGTCTTGGCATACAGGATGAATGCAGGGGGTAGGGAGGGGACCTGAAATGGGGGTGACAGATGCCAGGGCTTGGTGCTTTTTGATGTGTCTTACTTGAAAGGGTCAGGTGAATTCTTGACGGTGGCAAGTAGGGACAAGTGTGGAGTAATGGCTTCCCTGTGAAACTACATGAGAAAAGTGATGTGGGGGGTGGAGGGTGGTGAAGGAGGACAGGGCAGTGTCTTTCAGATGCCCACGTCCAGGGCCAGATATCAAATGAGTGAACTAGGTAAATGTACTGCAGGGTTGTGATGTTTTGTAGCTCCGAGTATTAACTTAAGCCACCACTGTTTCCAAGGAGGGTGGGGTAGGCTACACACGTGCTCATTTATTTGTCCAACTAGTAAATAAATTGATACCTCAGCGTACACACAGACTAAAACAAAACAAAAAACAACCATGACAATTCTTGTTGACAGGGCCTTGTTCTGCAGCCCAGGCTGGTCTTGGATTGAATGCAGGGGTTGGGGGAGGTCCTGAAACTGGGAAGGTCTCTGCCTTTACCTGCATTGGCAGGAGTGGGCTGCTAGCCCTGGCTCACGTGATAGGTCTCTTTTTAAAATAGATTTATTTTGGGGCTGAAGAGATGGCTCAGCGGTTAAGAGCACTGACTGTTCTTCCTAGAGGTCCTGAGTTCAATTCCTAGCAACCACATGGTGGCTCACAACCATCTGTTATGGCATCCGATGTCCTCTTCTTGGGTGTCGAAAGACAGCTACAATGTACTCATACACATAAAAACTTGAGCAAACTGGTAGATAGGATTTATTTTAATTTTCAATCTGGAAAACAAAACAAAACCCTAAAACAACCCCCCAAACTCTGCTCATATATATATACACAGATATATAGTGTCAACATTTTCAGAGCACTGACATGGGGGACTGTTTCCCTTCAACTGCATGACAATACTGTTTTATGTGTCACAATAAAAGTTACAAGCGTCTTGTCAGCGGTCACACGAACATCATGAGTTTACATTTCAACACACAATAAAAAAAAAACAAAAACAGACGTCTTCTGGTACTTCATCCCTGCGACCACGGTACATTCCCATAAACGTTTAAAGACCCAACAGTGTCTGTTTTGGAAGGCATAACCTTTCCAGATCCAAACTAAAATCTCGAGAGATTTTTTCCACTTGAGAGAACAATCAAGGTTTTATTCGTAGGTATGGTGAAGTCCACTCACCAAAAGATGTGTAGAAAACCTACATGAGAGTAAAAACAAAGCGCTGTTGCCAAGCCAGCCTCGCTGACAAGGTAGCCAGAACAGGACATGTAGCACTTAGAAGCATCACTCGACGTTTTCAGTTGCCTATATTCAAATTAAAACTTTTCAACCAATTGAATGAAAAGAGATTGGGTAAAAGGTTTGAAGATGCTCACACTCGGGGTTGGGTGTCTCTTCAGCAGCACTTTGGGGCGTGCGGCAGCGGCGGTGACATATTGCGTTTGGACGTAAGGCACCGTGATCTGGACGTGCCGTTCACTCACTTTGTCACCTGTTCCATCCCAGTGACTTCTTTGAAATGAAAAGTAGTACTATTTCAGGACACAGTGCACTTTAATGACATACAGCATTGAAAATCCTTCAGACAGGTCTGAGGACAGTCTTTGAACACAAGCCTGAATCTTCAAGCACATTAAATCTTTTCCTATACTTATACAAATCACTGGAAAAATACCCATCGCTAAACCCTGATATACATTCTTAGCCATTTTATTCTCTTCTACTGCAGCCAGTGTTCATGAGGCAAAACTTTGTTCAAGTTCTCCTGGGAGGGCGGCTACATTCACGGTGGTCATTCGGTCTCCGTCTCCTTCTGTTTGGCACCTGCCAGAGAAATGGAAAGTGGAAGTCTCAGAGCTTATGTTCATGGCAGGATTCCCTGCACCAGCTGATCCCACCCAGCCTGGCAGTGGCTTCCAAAGAGAGAGATAGGAGGAGTAAGTGGTCACAGAAGCCCCACCCCCTCCCACCATCAGTTCAGCTCCGATACCACATCTTCCCATTCTAAGTGTTGATTCTACTGCTAAAAAAGTAAAAATAGGCAGAGTTCTTTCAGCTGCCATACTCAGAAGATTATTCCCCCCTCCCTTTTTTTTAAACAAAGCATTACAACGCATCTAAAGACAACTGTGTGTAGCATCTACAAGTTCCCACCAGGTTTCCACAGGAGATGGCAGGCAAAGCCACTGTACTACCCACAGCACCTCTCTAGTGTTCATCTGAATAAACCCTTTTAAAAGAAACTTTCATGTGTGTGGGTGCCTTGCCTACATGCATCTCTGCACCATGTCTGTACAATGCCCATGGGGCCAGACAGGGGGTCAGGTTCTCTGGGGCCAGACTTGTAGGAAGTTGTGAGCCATCATACGGGTGCTGGGAATCAAACCTGAGTCCTCTGGAAGAGCAGCCAGTGCTCTTGACCTCTGAGTCATCTCTCCAGCCCCTGGCCTTGGTTTACTGAGGCAGGCTCTTGCTATGTACCTCAGCCTGGGCTCTACCTTCTGAGGGCATAATTTTGTCAGGCTACACTTAACTTTGCAAAGAGATGAAAAACATACTAGAGCAGGAGGTGGTCCTTGAACCCACTCTGTAAACCAGGCTGGTCTTGAACTCACTGAGATCTGTCTGTCTCTGCCCCCCCTCACCCCCCCTCCGAGTGCTGGGACTAAAGGTATGCGCCACCACCGCCTGATTCATCTCTCATAATTTCTGCATGATGTTGCTGCTGGCCATGGTCCCTGTGAAGGTAACTCTTTAATGGGGTTGGTCCTGTGGGTTTTGGATCTGAGGCAGGACTGTGGCAGTTGCTGGGGACTCTTATGATGAGTCGTTTTAGGAAACAGCCTAATTACAACAGCTAGTCTTAGCTGAGATTGATTACTGAACTAAAGAAAAGCAATACCACCACAGTGTGCACATAATTTAATGCTTAGCTACTAGAGTTCAGCACCTATTGCCATGTCATGTCTTGGGTCTGTACCCTGTGGAGAAAGGCTAGCTGGTTTCCATGATGCTGCTGGAGAGAGAGGTGGGGGAGGGGATGCAAAGAGAATGTAAAGGAGGATGTGACAGTGTTTTAAGACCCAGCAGGCCACCTCTTACCACAGACACACAGCCAGCTCTCCACCCCTGCTCCTCTGTGTGTTTTCTAGAAACTTGGCTCACTCAAGCAGAACATTAGAACTTCAAAATGGGAAGGAAAGCCAAAAAGGTCTGCAGAGCAACGCACACACAGGGTGGGTGGTAGAGGGAAGATTTCAGCATCTCTGTGCCTGTCCTGGAATATCTATCTATCTATCTATCTATCTATCTATCTATCTATCTATCTATCTATCTATCTATCATCTATCCACCTCATCTATCCATCCATCCATCCATCCATCCATCCATCCATCCATCCACCCCCACCCCCATCTATCTATCTTTTGAGTCCCGTTCTCTTTACGTTGACCTGGAGCTCACAGAGATGCACCTGTCTCTGCTCCCTAAGAACGAGGATTAAGCCATGTGATATCATGCTGGCCCAAAATCTGCATTTTTCACCTGCTGGTGTGAGGATCAGGGCTTGCAGGATGTCCGACAGGGAGATAATACCCACAATACTATCTGCTTCACTCACTACCACCAGTCGATGGACCTGTGAAGAGAAAGAGTCCAGGTGTGAGGTCATTGTTTACGTGTATGTGTGTGTGTGTGTGTGTGTGTGTGTTACATCTGCCCATATACCTGTACACAGGGGCTAGAGTTTTTTTTTTAATTGCTTATTTTATTTAATTAATCGTTTAATTTATTTATATTTTCTGTGTGAATATTTTGCCTGCATATATGCTGTATACTACATGCATGCAGTGTAGCTGGATGCCAGAAGAGGGTGTTTGATCCCCTGGCACTGAAGTTCCAGATGGTCTTGAGCAGTCTTGTGGGTACAGGGAATCTAACTCGTGTCCACTGGAAGAACAGTCAGAATTAGCAGCTTCTGAACCTTCTCTCCAGCCCCACATAAATTTTTTGAGACAGACTCTCCCACTAAACCCAAAGCTTGCCACTTTACTAGCCTGGCTGGCCACCAATCTCTGCCCACCAGGGCTAGGGTTACAGGACCGTACTCCTGCCCCCTCTTGGCTGGGTGCTGGGATCCAAACTCAGTCCTCTGCTTGCACAGCAGGTGATTTATTCACTGAGTCATCTTCCTGGCCCACATGTGACCATACAATGAATATGGCTGTAAAGCTGGGGCTGTACGGTGGACAGTCTGCAGAAAGGGTTGGGCCCAGAGGTAAAAATGTAACACCTATGCCTTGACCACAGCAAGAAAAAAACCAGCCAGTTCTATCTGCTGAGCTTTCAAATTTCAAACCATCTGTAAAGGGATGATACAGACTCCAAATTAATAATCTTGAATGGTGTGTGTGCATGTAATGTGGTGGGCATGGAGGCCAGGTTAACACTGGGTAATCCTTCTCCACAGGGTCGGTCTCTCTAAGCCTGGAGCTCACCCACTCAGCCACACTGGAGGTTAGCAGGTCTCACAGATGCTCTTGGCATTTTACTGTAGATGGCCTTTGGGAATTACCAACAGAGGGATCTCCCCCACTCCACCACAGCCTCAAATTTTAATATTCAATCTCAGTCTCTTGTAGCCAGCAGGTAACTGGCTTTAGGTGGCAAAGAAGGCTAGAAGGCTGTGGGGACTAAGGAGTGGACTCCCTGCTCTTCTCCTCTCCTGCTGTGGCTTTTCTGTGACATTCAGGTATCAATGCTAATATTCAAGAGGCTACGCTGTGGCAGACTGAGGCAAATGTAGTCACCTCTGGTACTCTCATCTGAATGAGAGAGCGCACAGTGTGGAATAGCAGGCCGATGTTTCAATGTCATAACTTGCTTTAGGGTTAAACACTGGGTGCTCTGGTTAGCTGGCTATCTGTGGCCCTGTGAAGAATCGTCTGGTGAAGGAATTTTAATAAGAGACATCTAACTGAGAGAACAACTTGTTTATATCCTATTTCCCCTTAATGGCTTCTTTTAAACCATAGACTTGCCAGAGTGTGGGCATTCTCCAGTTTCCTACACCCACGTGAAGGTCATTTTCAGCAGGAGCTCCTGTTAGTCTTTGCTTTTTCCATTTGGCCCCTTCTCTATGCAAACATGAGCGGCAACTCCTGGAATCTTATTGGCCTCAATACCTGGCCTTTTCTCATTTGTAGCTCTCACAGTGGATTCCCTGTAGGATGGAGGCTGGGCCCTGCAGGAAGGTGGTTGGATTCTCTTGGACAGACACTGGATTCTCTAAGACAGACAGTGGACTCTATAGGACAGAAGCTGGACTCTCTAGGACAGACAGTGGACTCTCTAGGACAGACAGTAGACTCTCTAGGACAGAGGCTAGACCGCATGAGGTGCAGTGGAGTTCTGACAGCAATGGCTCTCAGTATAGCACAGGACTTTACGTGTACAGCTTTCACTGTGGAAGTTTATGAATGCCTCTTAGTGGTCTCAGAGGTAATCAGGCGCTTTGCCGCTTAGTTTACATATCTATATTTAAAATATCAAAACAGCCTCATTATTGGGAGCTCATTTTACATAGTAGGGAATGTTCTGTAAGAAACAAAACTGCATTCTCCAGTCCTTGAGAGTGACAGACACTTGAGGGGAGGGATGGAGGAGGGACAAGGGGACATGGGAGGCCACTCCTAGCCCTGCCTGAGAAGGAAGGAACTGTGGGATGAGAGGGTGGATGACAGGCACTACTGTGGCCCCTCCCTCCTTCCTGGGAACCCTGAGCAGGTATGCTTGAACATCCCACAAGCTGTGAAGGGCAGGGAGTGCAGGGCTCATCAAACAAGCCTGAGGACGTGAGTTCAATCCCTGGAGTCCACATAAGGGGGGGGGGATAAGAGAAATGACTGCCACATATTTGGACACACTAGCAAATATGCGCGAGCACACACACACACGCACGCACGCACAATCAGATTTTTGCTTTATGTTACTATCATTCGCTTTGTTAAAATAACATTATACATTTTTTTTCTTTAAAGTCACAGATACTTTGACAGGACATATTGACTAAAAGCTCCCTGGGCAACTTTTGTTTTTTTCAAGTGTTCATTTTTGTTTTTCTTCTATGAAAAGTATCTCGCCAATATTTTCCACTCACAAAAACTCATCGAATTCAACTCCACTCAGCAAGCATTCCCAACTATGTATCAAACTCTGTTCTGGGGTTCAGAAGTCTATGAACCCACTGCTATCCTACAGAACCCGTGGCCTGCCTCCCAGGGCTGGGTCTCAGCCTCCCATGGTGGCTACTCATTACTTGCTGTGTGTGCTGAGCAGACACGAGGGAAGATGTGTGCTGGGCGGTGGTCCTCACCTCGGCTCTCACTATTCTGTCCACGATGGTCTCCAGTGTTTCCAGCTTACTGCACTTTACCACACCCTCAAAATACTGTGAGCGGTGCTGCAGGGCCTGGGTCACTGTGATGTCTAGGTTATTGTACGTTTTCTCAGCAGCAAGATTCTGTAAGAGTCACAAGAAAAAAAAAATACGTCCTTCATTTCCATTTGGATGAATGGGCAAGTTGGTTTTTAAGAACATTTACATGAAATCTGGCATCAAGAGTTCTCTTCCCAGCTAGTCTCCCCTCACTGCCTCAGTCATAACTGAGGGGGGGGTCCCGTTCCTCGGCGTACCTTGATTACGGAAATGTTCATTTGTTGCTGTGTTGTTCGTGTGGGGGACTGAACCCAGTACCTTATGCAAACTAATTGGGTGCTCTACCACTGAGCTACACCCTAACCTCTCTCCTGCTCCCTTTTTAAATTTCGAGTCACGCCTTCCTAAGTTATTCAGGCCAGTCCTGAACTTATTCTGCAAATCAGGCAGGTCTGGAACTTACAATCCCCCTGCCTCAGGCTCTTTCACAGCTGGAGCTACAGGCTTGGCAGACAGATGCAGTTTTGTACGTTTAAAGAGATGAAATTTCTTTTATGTGTGTGTGCATGCCTACACACATGCATGCCTGTGTGTGTGTATGAGTACATGCGTGTGCAGTACCAATGGAGGCCAGAAAAGGACATCTCATCCCTTGAAGCCGGAGTTACAGGTGTTTGTGAACCCTCAACACTGACATCTGAACTCTGGTCCTAGGGACTCACATCATGTACTCTTAACTTTTAAGCCGATTCTCCAGCTCATAGGTTATATTTTGACGGTGTTTTCTGCCAGGCTCCTCCCCCACTTGTCCACCAAGGCTCTACACCCACATGAGCAGTATCTCTTGAGAAATAAACTAACACCTGCCAAGGGTAAGATGCCTCAGAGGGAGGGTGCCTGCATCAGTGTCTCCCAGTGGGTTCTCAAAGCTCATGAACTCTATGAGGGAAGTGTGGGGCCCGTCAAGATCAACAAGAGACTCAAGAAGCCCAGAAATCCACAGAGTCTTCCAAGACTCCCATCGATTTTAGTGGGTCCATCCACCCAAGGTTCTAATGGAAAGATTTCTCGTTTAATGAAATGACTTTTGGTTGAATCAAAAGACATCTGCCAAAACCGTAATCAGTGGCAGGGTCAAAACTGTAGCAAAACGTGCCTGTTTCAGCTGTCAAACCTGTTCTTGTTCTTAGACCCTGTGTGTGAAACAGTGTTAAAGGCAAAGGCATCAGTGAGGAACCTCAAGACCAGCAGTCACAGGTGTGCTTTGCTTTAAGAACCCCAGGAAACTAGGGCCTAGATCTTAGTCTCTTGGCTGTCTTCTTAGAACAGGGTCTCCCAACCTGAGCAGGAGTCTGCACAGACACGACTCAGCTCATGTGTTTATTGAGCACCCCCATAGGCAGAGCAACCCCCAAAAGAAATGTGGCCAAATAAGGCTCATGAGCTGTAGGGACAGAGGCAATGAGCTCCCATTGAAATGCCCAGGGTTGGTAAAAGCACATACACACAGCTCATTGGTAAAGCAACGACTATCAGAAAGATCTCCCCTGGGAGGAGGCTGGGCTTCTCGAAGACTTTCACTCGGAAGGTTAGGAATTATTACATCATGGAACAAACAACTTAGTATATTTTTAGTTTTCATTTGTCCTAAAATGCTTTCTGAACGACAGGCTTAAGAACATGAAAACAAGTACTTACAATGACATCAAACTTGGAATAAATATCTACAACTTTTCCTAAAAATGAAAACATACGTTAGAAAAAAACATTTTAGAAACAGTAGCTCATTAAAAAAAAAAATCAGTCTTAACTGGACAACTACTATGGATTAACAGTGTTGAGTAAAGCAAACAGGCTTTTTTTTAAAGGTGAACTAATATTTTAGTATTTGGTATTTTTTTTTTCTTTTTGGTTTTTCGAGACAGGGTTTCTCTGTGTAGCCCTGGCTATCCTGGAACTCACTCTGTAGACCAGGCTGGCCTTGAACTCAGAAATCCGCCTGCCTCTGCCTCCCAAGTGCTGGGATTAAAGGTGTGTACCACCACCGCCCGGCTCAGGAAATGGTATTTTGATGTAAACCAAAAACTGAGCCTGCTTTAAGTTCTCATTTTCCTGACGGCTAACTATGGGAACTGCAGCCCAGCATTCGCTTCTCTGCTGTCTGCTCACTTCCTGCTCATCCCAGCCCAGGAGCAGGGATAGCCTCACAGACCTGACTCATCCACCACAGGCAGTGCAGATATCCGTCTCTCCACAAAGATGTTCAAGGCTTTGATGATGGGAGTATCTGGGTTGATGAAGGCAATATTGTGGTACGTTCCTATTCCAAGCTCATCCAGGTTTTGCTTCATGAAGGCGGGCTTTGGCATATCAGACATCTGAGCAAGGAGAGAACATGAGAATGTTCTAGAACCCCAGCGTGCCCTTTCCGTGTGCACACATTCAGATCTGAATGAAAGACTATGTTCAACGAATTAAAGGCAAGTCTTTCCTAACAGTTAGCCCGGTGTCTCATTGCCATGAAAGAGTTATCCATCAGAACTGTCTCTCTCAAATCAGCTAACAGCTCCACACGATGTCTTTGTACAAAAAAAAATGATTCTAAGTATTCATGGTTTGCTTTCTCTTCGCACCAAAACAGTAGGAAGAAGATGAGATCGACAGGTCTGTCTGAGAAATTAAGACCTGAAAGCTATTGCTGATTGAACCCTTTATTCTTAGGTGATCGATATTCAGCCCTGGGATCTGAAGTGACACGAAGCCCTGTGTCTGGGTCTGACTGGCAGCGACTAAGCTGTTCCTGGTTCCCACATCCACTGACTGTATGCACCCCAGATGAATCCAATTTCTCACTATTAACAACAAAGAATAAGCCAGCTGAACCAAGTAGAAGGAATCTTTAAAAATTAACTTTCCTTTTCTGACTATTTCAGAGGAGGAGGGATAAACTGGAAGAAAGTCTAGGATCAGGCTGGACTACAACAGAGTAAGGTCTATGGTTTCAAAGATCCACCTTTTATAAAGGGCAGAGTTGACGCCATCTTCCTGGTGTACCTTATAATTATCAGGAAAAGATGAACAATTAGAAGAAACAAAATGTTCAAGTCAAAGAGTTCATCAATATTCAAATCATGAGACTCCTAGAAATTTAGAGAAAAAAAAAAGAGAGAGAGAGAGAGAGAGAGAGAGAAAGACCTATTAGGTCATCTAATCCATCTCAACACAGAAATTCTCTTTCATATGCCTGGGAGGGTACCACTACCCTTCCCCAGAATGATCCTGATAACCAGTAAAAAACCAAAACCAAAACCAAAAAAAACCAAAAAACCAAAAAACAAAAAACAAAAAAAAAAAAAACAAAAAACAACAGGCCATGGTGTTTATTTAAAATACGTTTTTTTTTGTTTTGTTTTTTTAATCTGAGAACCCCTGGCTGAATATTTTGGCTACAAGGTCCTATCTGCCATATTTGTCCAAACTAAGGTAATTCCCTTCTTCTCTTCAGACTAGATGAGTGATGTCATGAACAGTGTTAACAGCACCAGCTGGACAGGGCTGTATAAGGACACTTCATGCAAAGCTCCCAGTATAGTGCCTGCCAGTGGCCAACTGTCACACATGAGCTCCGGGGGCTGAGCCACTAGCCTAGCAACCACGAGCCTTGAGCGCCTGCCCCTCTGCCCAAACCCTTGGTTCCTATGATGTCTCTACGAGGAAGGCTTCCACAACCCCCATTATGGAATGATGGACGACACCCCTTGCTCACTCTTCTTCTGGTGCCTAGTAAATGACATGGGCATTTCAGCAAATTATTCTTCCCCCGATTTAATCAGGAAATTCGATTTGTCTCTGGATATCCTATTAAACCATGTGACCAGCTGGCTCACCAACACTAAAACCTTGACACCTCTGTAAACCCCTGGCCCTGCAAGGCTACACCCAGGAGAACAACTTGGGCCCTTCTGTAGACTTGTATGCTTAGTTGGTTCCTGAAGGGAAGCTGCAGACAGGATCCTGGAAAAGCCCCTTGGAAGTAGCTTTCGAATGTTTACTTCCTATAGAAAGATCACTTCAATTGGCCTTTCTGAACCATCAACACTTCTGCTGCTGCTCCTCCTGGCTGATGACGTCATCTCCATATTTACACAGGTGATGGGGGTGTAGATGAAAACCTCCCAGCACATTCCTGCTCCCAGGGAACCTCCTCTAATGCCACCAGTCTCAGGGGCTGTGAATACAAACCACGGAAGTCCACTCTGGTGTATCTCTTGCTCACATCTGTCCTGCCTTGGGAGTCTCTGGCTGCTGCACTTGAGAATGAGGTGACCCAGGGGATGGTGTTTTTCTGCTCATGCTTCTAAAACCATGACCTCACAAACACACCACAAACAACTTCTTCCCTAAGTCCTGGCTCCCTCCATGGATGCCACAGGCCTCAGTGAGACTGACATACAAACGGCTCAAGCTCCCCCTGCATGAGACTGACATAACACCCATCCTCAGGGGGGGGCATTCTCCAGTTTTATTATTTTAATACCAGGACTGAAAGATTTAGGACCAGAAGCATTTGAGCTGGTGTCAGCTTGGAGAACACACAGTGCACACAGTAAGTGAGTTGAGAAACTGAACTGTTGTGAAACACAGACCTTGGAACTAACGGTTTCTTCTACTGAGAGCAACGGGGGAGGGGGGCCCATTTACTTGATGTTAAGTGACAGTCAATGCAACTGCATCTTTAGGGGCTACTTACAAAAAGCTGGAGGAACTTGAGGATTCGTTTGTGGGTGAGTATATAAAGTGCATTCCCACTGATAGGGTCAATAACTGGCAATCTGTGGATTTTATTTTTGATCAACGAGTATACAGCATCGAAGAGGCTGCGGGAAAAGCCATTAGAGTCATTAGGAGGCTTTCAAGAGAAATCCGAAAACCTTTGGACCACCCCAGCTTTACAGTGTACTCTCACTGCTTTCATATTACCATAACAAGAGGCTCGTTAGTTTAAAATAGTCACGGCAGAGTTTTACATGGGCGCTCGCCACTCATCTGCTGGTCTATCTCAGCCTCAAGAGGGAAACACGGATCTCCAATAAGGCAGGTTTTTTTAACAGTTCGTCCAGGGATTTGTTTGAAAGACGCAAGCCTTCAGGAAGGCCAGCAGTGATGTCAGCACTGAGGCCAGGTGCCAGACCCCCAGGGTGCCTGCCTGCCCTTCTGCGTCCTTTTTGCCTTCTGCCACCACTGCCAAGAAGCCTGTTGGGTGTACCTTCCCCATCCATCTGGAAATGAGGTAACAAAACCAAGTGTCTTCTCTCTCCTCTAGAGCTCTTGGGCTTAAAGCACCTCCTACTCTGTCCATCTTGTGCTGAGAGCTGGAGGCTGTGCCTGAGTCCTGCTTTGCCCTGCCAGCTCCTTCAAGGCTGCCTCTGGTCTGGGCTGAAATCACTGTGGGAGTGGTTTACTGCTTTTCCCAGAATCCAGCCACTTCCGATTGAATGTTGGGGCCAAGACTGAAACCCTGAGGATCAGTAACTATAACAGGACCCCTCACTGATGCTGCCACACATGAGCTGGGTGTTCAAAACTGACCTGGATGACCAACCCCATAGCCAGTCACTTGTATCCACACAGTTGTTCCACCCCTCACAATATTCCTCCTCCCTGTCTCAGGACTTGCTAAATTGTCTAGGCTAGCCTTGTGCTTGCTAGGTATACAGCCCAGGTTGGCCTTAAAACTTGCAATCCTCTTATGTTTGCCTTCCCCAAGGTGCAGGATTCCAACTATGCGACACCTATGTGTCTGGTTTTGCTGGGACTTCCAACACCTCTCAACTTTTGGCATACTATTTGGATTAAGGAAGCTGGCCCTAACTAGACTCGAGGAATATGTCTGTCTACTTCCACTTATCCATCACGGCAATAAAATATCTAAATTGCCAAGAATGTTTTTTAAATGGGGGAGAGGAAGCTTCACGTTTACCTGGCATCTGGAGAGATATTCACCAAAGGCTTGAAGGTTTCTTGTAAGTACAATTCTGCATTTGTAGAAGGAAAACACACAGTTAGCTACAGACCTGCTGAGTGCAATGCGACTTTACGTTCAAAATCCCTCCGCTGAAAGGAAATAACGAGACAAACCAGAAACCCAAATAAAAGATAATTTACCCCAATCTATTGTTACAGTCATGGTTATTTAATGTGGCCTCAACTGTTTTCAGGGCATTGTACTTGCAGAAAAATCAAATATGGGGGTGGGGTGGGGAAATCCCAATATTTCCACAGATGCTGGCAGCATCAGGAAAAGCTCTGATGCAGAGCAACAGCAGCGGAGGCCATTGGGTCCCATCAAGTTCACATTACTATCAAGAAATGAAACGTTTTTCAGAATTCCTTAGAGCAGATTTTTCATAATCTGGGAGATAACATCACTCTAACCAATGTTCTTCAAATGCTCTCGTTGTATTTCACTAAACTGATGCTCAAAACCCAGGGCATGTTGGGATTCTTGCCAGCACATACATGTTTTCTTTGTAAAGAAATCAACTGTACTTAATTTGGTTTGCTGAGGTCTGTATGCAGAAGGTATCTGAGAACATCCTGATGTTGTCTCGCTTCCCAACGCCCTGTAGGTGGAAGTGTAAATATACCTAAACACGGTCAATGGCGTGCATACAGCACAACTGGATGAGAGGTGCCTGTCTGAGTAGTTCATCAAGTCACTGACAGACCAGATGGATGACATGCTCACTTAATTCATCTAGTCTGCCTTGATAAAGCTATGCTCCATAAAACACCCCTTGACAAGCTTTCAAAATCATGTTAAAATAGAAAGGCCTGAAGAGGCCTGGAACACTCCAGTTGAAGTTACAATTTCTCGGCTACTTTGAAACTTGGTCATCCTGCCAAGCACGTGATGGGAAGAGCGAAACCAGACTCCTAATGACTAGCTAGAAAGTTTCCTGTGGTCGGTCCCTCCCTTTCTACTCAGGCTATCCCTTGAGCACTGGGTCAGGGCTCTTATGCACTGATCAGTGGGGGTGTCCTCTGACCATATCCCATGTGAGTCTGTCCTGCCTACTGTGAATCTTCAAGATGACAACTCTCCCATCATGGAACAAGAGTTTAAAATATGACTCCATTGTAGGCAAAAAAATCACATGACTGCAAAGGGTGAATTCTGGCATGGCAAATAGTTCTTTTGTATGTATCAGTGTATACTATCTATGTGTGTGAATATCTGTTTGTGTGTATACGCCAGAGAACACCTCAAGTGCTCTCCACCATGTTTTTTTTTTTTTTTTTTGAGATAGTCTGTCACTAGCTCTGGCATTGTCCATTCAATCAGGCTGGCTAACCAGCGAGCCCCCAGAGACTCGCCTGTCACTGTGTCTTCACTGCAGGGACTGAGTGCACACTGCCATGCCTGGCTTCTTTACAAGGGTTCTGGGGACTGAGCTTCGGTTCCCTGGCTCCCACACCCTGCACTTTAGCCCCCACACTATCTTCCTAGCCCACGAGTTCCTGAAATGATTTCTTCGTTATCCCATCTGAACCGTCCAGTTAGACCCTGTCTCGTTCGTCCCAGTTTTGCTGTCTTGGTAGGAGAACAATTCAGCTTAATCAGACAGCTTGCTCTGCCCCATACTCGGGCTATGGTGATCAATATCTAAGGGTGATGCTCTGTGATCAGCTCACTCAGGTCTACAGCTCCAGGCCTGGTGCAAGGCCACACATATGTGGCTACTGTCAACACGGCCTGTCATAGAGGGACAGTGTGCACATTAGCATGGAAGCCCCTCCAAATGGAGAAGCGGGAAGCAGAGCGTTGTAGCTGATAGGTTGCAACTCAGCACAAGAAATGATCTGAGACGGTAAACCATGCTTTCACATAGCATCTTCTCCGTGTACTGAAGAACGCAAGACCTGGCAGAGCTTACCCCTCCACGTTTCAATCTTATGTTCCTCCAATTCATAAATTTGTACCTGCAAATAAGAAAAATCCGTGTCTACGCGTGTTACCATTCACCCGGGCGAACAGCTCCGCCCCTGTTATTCTGTTTGTAACTAGAAAATTCGGGGATACAGGGAGAACATATTTCCAAGTACTAAAAAACAGCTCTAGCCTTTTTGTACCTACATTTCATTGGTTTCTTTTCCCCCCAAATCTTTATTTAACTAAACGACCACAGAGATTTGCTGTATGGTGTCTGCTGTTTTTTAATAACATATATGACAACAGAGTATTCCAAGTCTGGGAAAACTTACTTAATTTTTCTCTAAGTAAGGTGGGTTTTTTTTTTTAGTTAAAAATGCTTAGTAAACAGATGAAAGTAACAGGTTTTATGGTGGCCCTTCTTGTTTGTACGTACGTATCATATACATCATCTTAGTCATCCTTTCGTTCGTACCCACCCCTCACAGCTGTTTCCTTTCTTCCTACATAAGCAGCCCTTCCTCCTGTTTTGATGGCACACATAGGCCTCTTCCATCTGACTCCCCACTCCTACCCAGAGGGTCCCCCTCCCCCTCTCCCTCCTCAGGCCATTTTCTACTCTCCCATCCTTCTGGAGTTTTCCTCATGAAGAAACTCACTTTTGCATTTTATTTGGGAATTACAGGCATGTGCCACCCGGTGACAGTCTGATCAAGTGATGGATCACAAACATGACGGTAAGAACCCATTCATGTTGTGGCCATCTCAGTCCGAGTAAAAACACTTTGCTGTGTTCATTCAGTGGGATCAATTGATGCCACGCCACTTAGAACAAGCTTCCCTGTTAAAAAATGCGTATTAGCGGATAACTGACCGCTGCCTATAAACACACGGGGGTAACTTCTGCCTTTCAGGTACTCCATATAGAACTAGTTAAATAAAACAGACAGGTGACCTCCCCACCACAGCAGACAAAACTAAAACCAAGCTGTGTTTAATACAGGGTAGACTGGGTTTCAGTTCAAATTGCCCTTCTAGAACATCTGGGCTAGGTGCCAGGGTGTCTGCCACCAACGGCATCCAGAACAGTCTTTTCTGTTAGCAAGAAAGATTCAGAACTGAACTTCGATTTTGATTTCTATGTCCTCTTTCCTAGTTTCCTTATAGTAGATATAAAACCACAAAGGAGGGGTTGGGGGTGTAGTTTAGTGGTGGAGGATTGCCTAGTATGCCCAGTGCCCTAAGTTTCCCCCCAGAACTGAAATAAAAAAGATAAATAAATCCTGGATGGGCCATGAGAGACTATCAAACGACACTCAGAACAAGAGGCCTGCAAAAATAAAGCCCTGTGGCCACTTTATCTCCAGGGTGAGAGGAAGTAGGGGAGGCAGCACCCTTCCTGGTCCCAGCAGATACCACTGCACATACCACCAAGCTGCTAGTCACCAAGCAGCAGGAACTTACACATATCAGGGCAATAAATTAGAAAGGGTACGTCTGCAGCTCAATAAAGCAGTTACTTTTTTTTTTTTTTTAAATTGGTAACTTTTCCAAGCTTCAAAAAAAAGACGTGAGGCTGAACTGACTGTTTACCTGGGCTGGAAGTCTTATAGTGGACTTCCTTATGTATTATACAAACTGGGAAAACCCATCCCATCCTGAACACAACCACAGTGAGGTCCATGCCACTTACCATGGGTGATTTATAGTATCTGTGTAGTATATTTATGAAATCTGTGATCGTGAGCATTCCTGAAACAAAGAAGCGAAAGTTAAAAACAAAACTAAGGGTCGGGGGAGCTAGCTCAGTGGTTAAAGCGCTTGCCACATAAGTGTGAGGACAGGAGTCTGGATCCTGGGAAACACTGGTCGGCGTGGTGGCTCACTTTAATTCAAGCCTTAGATGGCAGAAACAAGGGATCTCTGGAATAGACTGGCAGGTTTACTAGGGAGGCATATTGGCAAACTCTGGGTTTGATTGAGAGACCTTGCCTCAAAGAGGAAAGTGAGCAACTGATGGAGGATGGCTCCCGATATTAATCTTAGGCCTTCGCAGGTATGCACACACACACACACAACACAGGCATACATGCATACACCACACACCCATACACACACACACATGACTACAGATACCCTCATGACCACACTCAGATGCAAATGTGCATACACATACATGACTATATATACATGCATATACACACAAGTGTATGGCACATACACACCACACACATAACTACACACACCTACAAACATACATACACCACACACACACACACATGCGCGCACACACATATATGACCACACACACACAAATGTGCATATACATGTACATGACTACACACACACACACACACACACACACACACACACACACACACACACAAATGAATACACGCGTCGTACAACACATACACACCTATGGAAAAAGACAGACAAAATGACATGTAGAAGGAAAGCTGCCAGCAGCAAGTGAACCTTCAACATGTACGAGAAAACCTTGTAAAATGCAACCCAAAGATCTCAGGCTCAGTCTGGTGTATTAAAAAGGGCATACATTCCTGACGCTAAACTAGAAGTGCAAACTGAAGTCTAACAAGCAGTATGGAATTGGCATGTTTGGCGGGCTAAGAGAGAACCAAGCAACACTCATAAAGTCCTGCAAAGACTTGTAGCTACAGGTGAGCAGTTTTATATGTTTCAGCAGCAGATGCTGACATTCCCTAAGTGAGATGGGGGTGGGACTTCTGGGACACCTGCCCTGTTTCCTGAGAAATGTTCTGAACACAACGGGATTAGCAAAGAGTCACCACCCATTGCAGGCCTACTGTGTGCTGGAAACTAGAATTGTGAGGGTGGAAAAAAAGAGGATGTTTTCTGAAAGAACATTCTAGTCTAGAGGGAGAACAGACTTCAGTAGTTAATTTCAAACTAATGTCCTGAGAGCAGAGCAACAGCACAGTTAGGTCACTGACTCTGGCCAGATGTGACAGGGTTTACATATCTTTTCCCCCTTTCAGTACCAGGGTCAGAGCCAGGGCCCCCACACATCCTAAGTAAGCCCCACAACACTGAACAACACCCCTAGTTCTTGGCTATTACAGACAAGGTCTTGCTATAGCTCAGGTGGGAACTTGCATTCTTCCTGCTTCTATATCCCAAGTGCTGGGATTACAGGCATGTGCCACCATATCCAGGGCTTACCCAGAATTTCTGACAGCTTAACAATTGAGCAGGCACTGATTACATTCACATTCTGACCCCTGCCGTCATTTACAAGGCGATGAGCAGAGCCCGTACACAAGAGCAAGTGCCTCGCGCTCATCTGACCACCTCTGTGGTGATTTTGTTCCGTGTGCTCAGAAACTGCTAAAGTAAAGGAGCGACACCCTCCGGGCCGACCCACTTGAAAAGCAGAAAAGACTGCAATAAGCTCACAACATTGTCTTAAATTCACTAGTGGTTTGGTCTGGTCCAGTACGCAAAAGCCAGAAAGTTCTTCAACTCAGAGAATGCCTATCAGGCTGAACCTGCGAGGATGGAATCCTGGAGCCCTCTGCTCTGCTGGGAGAGAAGGACCTTCCCACACAGCCTTCCCCAGCCACGCCACTAACCTACAAAGCTCTGCTTTTTGCTCTCCCACAGCGGCGCCGCACGAACTCCGTTGGCTACCAAGGCAAAAAAGGCCTTTTTGACCTGGAGAGAAACCAGAAACAAAACATCCTTTTAAAGTCCACATCTGAGGAGGAAAATACTCTCAAATTAAGGTTTCAACAAAATCTTTCTAGTAATTACTGATGTTAAGTGGTGTAAGTTTGGTAGGTGTCTTAGTCAGGGTTTCTATTCCTGCACAAACATCAGGACCAAGAAGCAAGTTGGGGAGGAAAGGGTTTATTCATCTTACACTTCCACATTGCTGTTCATCACCAAAGGAAGTCAGGACAGGAACTTACACAGGGCAGGCACTTGGAGGCAGGAGCTGATGCAGAGGCCATGGAGGGTTGCTGCTTACTGGCTGGCTTCCCCTGGCTTGCTCAGCTTGATTTCTTATAGAACCCAAGACTACCAGTCCAGGGATGGCACCATCCACAGTGGGCCCTCCCACCCTTGATCACTAATTGAGAAAATGCCTTACAGTTGGATCTCATGAAGACATTTCCTCAAGGGAGGCTCCTTTCTCTGTGATAACTCCGGCTTATGTCAAGTTGACACACAAAACCAGCCAGTACGGTAGGCTACAAATAACACGTGTTAGCAAAATGTTTTTATGTAGCCTACTTAAAGATATTTTAGATGTGCCTAACCTTTGACATTGTAACATGACACTGTCATCTTTGGAAAGCTCATTTAGAGCAGTGCGATCAAATTACAAAAAAAAAAAAAATCACAAAAAACTCAGACTCATTATTTTCCTTTTGTGTGCGTCCGTGTAGGTATGCATGAGTGTGGGCACATGTGTGGGGGTCAGAGGACAACTTAAGGTGTTGGTCTTTGTCTTCCACCTTGGTTTGGGACAGTGGGGGTCTTCTTTGTTGCTGGATGCTGCGTACACCAGGCTAGCTAGCTGAGAGGTTTCCACAGATCCTCCTGTTTGTGCCTCCCACTTCAACTATAGGAACAACAGATTACAGATACATGATACCAAGGTTAGCTTTTTACACGGGCCCTGGGGATTTGAACACAGGTCCTCACACTTGTGGCAAATGGTTTGAACATGGGAGACATCTCCCAGTCCTCAAAAGACTTGAAGTAAGTTCACAATTCTGTGTTCAGCCATGCTTAAAGGGACATACTCTAAGCTGCATGTGGCCTATGGGCTGCAGGTTGGCCACACCTGGTAGAGGGAGTGGGGATTATATTTTTGAAACTGAAAGGTAACTAACTTCACTTTTTTCTTGGCTGTTAACTAAATATTCTTGTACATACAGATTTTCTATAATTAAAATCATAAAAAAATAATAGCCTAATTTTTCCCATGTGTAATGGGTAATTTATATGAAACAGTTATAATGAATTGTTTGCAATGATAATTGATCATTATATTAAAAAAATCACAACAAATAACGATTTCCAGTCCCCCACAAAGATGAGAAAGGCGGGCATACAGTTAGAGGTACTTCACAGCACTACAGACAAACCATGAACTCTGGGGCTGTGACAGTGCAGGTGCTGTTCAGAGCAGGCGCCATTCACAGGTGGCACTTTGTCACTGTGACACACACCCTCAGGGATACTGTAAGGTGTCACACTCCATTTATTACGAGCCAACAGCCCAGGGCTGAAAACAATCCTCTCAACAGCACATGCAAACAAGGAAATCACTCTGTATTCATTAATAATTCAAGATATGCAAATGAAACATTCAAACATTATTCAGAGCTGCTGCTGTCGTGTGGACCGGAGAATGGTCCTCAGATGCCTAGCTGGAAGGAAGTAAGGTCTTTTTTGAAATAGAGTCTCCCTGTGCAGCCTAAGCTGGTCTGGAACTTGTGATCCTTCTGTCTCCGCCTCTTCTGGGTTTTAGGATTCTGGGTAGTTCTCCCCTCCTGGCCCTTCCCTTTATTTTCTGTCTCTGCCTCCCACCACCATGGGTGATCAGGCCTCCTCCACCACCTGTCCTCACTGTGATGTACCACGGCTTCTGTCCCTACTCCTGCCTCCAGGCTCCTGCTTCCGTGAGTTCCTGCTCTCACTGCTTTCAGTGATGAATGGTGACTGTGAGCATAATCAATCAGCTGCTTCCTCCCAAGTTGCTTCTGGTTACGGTGTCTCGTTGCAGCAAGAGTGACCCTGACTAAGACAGTGCTTGAGCTTGTATTAAGAACCACAAACCCATCCTGCTATTTGTACTGCAGGGTATCCCTGCTGGATTATTTTTGGGAGTGGGTTTCCTGTATATGTGTGTGTGTGTGTGTGTACATGGGCGTGCCGTGAACGCGCAAGAGGATCCATTTATCCTGCTGCAGGTCTACCCTTCTTTTCCTTTCTTCGGTATCAGATCTGATCTCCAAAGCTCCTCCACCACCATAGACAGCCTGGTAATGTCTACCATCTCTTACTGTATCAGGATGCGGTTCATCTGAGAAATCAGACTCAGTTCTGTTCAGAGAGACAACATTCCGTAATCTCTAGATGATCTTCCTCTAATCATTAATGACGTCACCCTTCCCAGCTCCTGACCATCGTCCTTGGCAATGAAAGCAGCAGCACAGCAGAAGGGCTCCAGTTTCTCAGGCCACACCAGGGACCACTCATGAGCAAGGGGACCAGTCCTTCCTTTCCCTCTTGCCTTGCGACTGACTGACTGAATACCCAACTTTCCTTGTGCATCTTAACTCCCATCTTAGATTAAAATGATAATGAACACCTCTCTTCTCCTTATAGCCTTCCATTTTACTTTTGATGACATGTACATGTACATCTGTGTATATCTATTTAACTTTTTTCTTGGATAGTCTTGCTATGTAGCCCTGGGTGGCCAAGAACTCACTCTGAAGACCAGGCTGGACTGGACTTGCAGCAATTCTTCTGCCTCTGTCTTCTAAGTGCTGGAATATAGCTTTGACCACTACATTCTGAAATCTTGGCCTTCCTCTCGGCCTCTCATGTCTGGCTTGGAACCCCGTGGCAAGCTTTCTTGGATGAACATAACACAGGCCACTCACTCTTTAAAGACAACCCCAGCCAGCCTTGCCACCTTCTTGCTGGGGACAGGTTTCGCCATGTCCTATAGCACGAAACAGCTTATGTACAGAACGAACCGAGACATCTCGCTATCTTATGCCTGCACAAACCTGGAAAGGATGTGTGGGAACAGGCAAAAGAGGAATTTAACACTCAGCCTATGGGACAGACAGCTATAGGTCTATAGGTGGACTTCCCAGAAACTGCCCAATCACTGTTTTGCCTGTGGAGCCAGAAGAAGCTTTAGCTGTCCAATGGCTGCCTAAGCTCAGGGCATGCTAAGGCTGTGTTAAATGAGGCTGAGATGCTGCCACTCTTGGAGGACCATGAAGACAGGAACTCCTGCTGATTCCTCAAAGGCAGCCTGAATGCTCAGGCCACAGGTCACACCATCTTTGAGTGGCAGGAGAATGCAAGTGCCATGTGAGTTAACTAGGGGGGCAGCCACGACACTATGTTCCATGGGCCGAGCACACAGCAGCAGACAGTGCCTGGAACAGCCTTGCTGGTTATCATGGGAACAGTATTCTGGGCAGCAGAAAAGCCAAGGCAGGTGAAGGTACCCATCGAGGGCAACCAGGAAGCAGTGGGGATGAGAATGGCCCACTCCCACAGGAATCTCTGGTGGTAGCTAAGTACTTAGCGTCCCAGGAACAAAACAGATCCAACCTTCTCATTTTATTTTAGCTATTTATCGCCAAAAGCCTGACTTGAGCCATCAACATACAGGGATGCTGTCCTCCAGCTGTTTCCAGTGTGGGTCAGCTCTCCTGGGCTGTGCCATTTCACTCTCACATACAGTACTCTGTGCTTGGTGCCCTCCCCAAGGGACTTGCAAAGAGGGACATGAGGACCTAGACATGGGTTCTGACCATAAAATGCCACTGCAGTCCTCTAGTCAGAGCGGGGTTCTAGTATCAGGCAATGGGTGGCGAGTCAGCTTGAGCTTGAACCACTCGACTTAGAGCAGAGCTGCAGAGTCAACTGTAGCTGTCTCCCCTGGTCCTAGGGTGTGCTCCTAACACCCCGGGAAGCTCTCCAGGGGCTTGCTGAATTCAGGATGTGAGATGCTATAGGAGGAGTTGAACAGGAAACTTCTGGCTACCAGGTTAGCAAGTCCCATGTGTAGAGCATCCCCGGGGGATGTGCCAAGTTTGATGACACTAACTGCCACCACCTGACTCTGAGTGGGTCTTCTGGAGGCTGCAGGTACACTTTTTTTTTTTTTTAATGAGGAAGTTAACATTTAAAGATTTATTTATTTATTTTATGTATGTGAGTACACCATTGCTCTCTTCAGACACACCAGAAGAGGGCGTCTGATCCCATTACAGATGGGTTGTGAGCCACCATGTGGTTGCTGGGAATTGAACTCGAGACCTCTGGAAAAGCAGTTGGTGCTCCTAACCTCTGAGCCATCTCTCCAGCCCCACAGGTACACTTTTATGTGCTGAGGGCCTTTAAAAGCGATTTTCACCAGGATTTTAGCCTGTGTAGCAAGCCCAGTTACTCTTCTATTAGACCTATGACACAGCATGGTTAGCTGTTGAGTCTTTGCTGTGTCCAACAGTGAGCCAGGAACGATTTCCTGTCAATGCTTAGACAGTGGCACAAAGCATCCATCAGTAAAACATCCGCAGCCAGGCCGGGCAGTGGTGGCTCATGCCTTTAATCTCAGCACTTGGGAGGCAGAGGCAGGTGGATGTCTGAGTTTGAGGCCAGCCTGGTCTACAGAGTGAGTTCCAGGACAGCCAGGGCTATACAGAGAAACTCTGTCTCGAAAAACCATAAAAAAAAAAAAATCCACAGCAGAAAAACATCCAGACATAACCATGCCTTCCCCTAAGACAATTATTTCCATTTGGGAAATCGTTCCTGGCTCACTGTTGGACACAGCAAAGACTCAACAACTAACCATGCAGCTCCTGTGAAAAGCCTTGTGCAAGGACGGTCTTCCTCCCTGTTCCAGGTGACACTCTACTTTGCTCCTGCTGCCCAGTGCTGTGCTGGTGTGGTCTTTACACACACTGGTCTACATCCGCCTTGAAAATCCAAGCCAAACTGAACCCAACCGAATTGAACCGAACTGAACCTCATTTCTTAGTAAACTTCTCCCTTTCTCCTCTTCTCCCAAGTAGCCCAAACTGGCCTCTAACTTACCACATAGCTGAGGATGGCCCTGAGCTCTTAATCCTCCTGCCTCTGCCTCCCAAGTGCTGGGATTAAAGCTGTGCCCTGCGGTGGTGGTGGTGGTGGTGCCGGCGGTGCACACCTTTAATCCCAGCACTTGGGAGGCAGAGGCAGGCGGACTTCTGAGTTCGAGGCCAGCCTGGTCTACAGAGTGAGTTCCAGGACAGCCAGGGCTCCACAGAGAAACCCTCGAAAAACAAAAACAAAACAAAACAAAACAGCTGTGCTCTGGCTTCTTTCCTTCTTAATGGCCACATTACAGTATTCTGTGATCTGTCCACTGCTAAGCCAGTCACTGCACAGGCTTTGGGTACAAAGCCTTTAGGCTGTTCTGCCTCTTTGGTTCCTGCTTGCTGTTCTCTTAGCTCTCAGGGGTGTGCCCAGGAGCACCGAGGCAGTTAGTCTTCAAAGCTTCAAGCACATCTTTCCCTCTGCTCTACCCAATGCCAACATGCCCTGTCTCCTTGTGCATAAATCAGGTCCTTCCAAGCTCAGACTCACGAGATCCATGATTCTGGGATGGGATGTGCACACGGCTTTAATTAACTGTACAAGTGACAAGACATGGTTGACCTTGGGCATCCGGAAAACATTGCATTCTTTACATGTTACTCAGCCCGGCTAAATTCTTAATTCCAAAGAGAGTCAACCCCAGGACACAACAAAATCTAGATAAACAGCGGATTGGTACTTGTGGCTGTTTACTTAAATGTGAAAGGTCAAGAGCGGCTGCTTCTGAGAGGAAGACTGGGGGAGGCAGGGTGAGGGTGTAAGTTGATTGTAGGGACTCAGAATGTCTGGTTATTTACTGAAATTGTTAGCAACTGCTGTAGAGACATTTAGAATGACTTTGTAAGATCCACCTTCCCTAGGTAACCATGTATTTGCTTTCTGTCCTATGCCAAAGGATCAGAGAGGCTTAGGGGCTTAACAAGACCCTGAGGGTTCCCTAAGGGCACCCTGAGGGTCACCTGAAGGCTCCCTGGTTCAGTGAGAAACTGCTGGCTCACAGGTCTTAAAGTCCATTTATAAAATCAACTGTATTTCTACAAATTTACAAAAAAACAGTTGGAAATGCAATTAAGCAAAAGCCACTTCTGTGTTCCTGTTGTTCTCTCTCTCAAAAGGCAGGAAGAAGGGCTCTGAGGGCCTGGCGTTTCCTCTAAAGTGTGAACAAAGGCAGCAGTGGGAGTGGGAGGTGGACTGCTGCCGCTGCCGGGTAAAGCTGGAGGAGTCTGGGAGGCCTCTCCCAGGTGAGCTCTGCACACAGAACACGTGAGGCTGGGATGAATTTCTCTGGGCGCCCAGAGTTCCACTGGGGCTTAGGGTGAGGCTGCCCCCCAAAGGCTATTGTTGAAACCACACCCTTGCTGGTTTCTGGGGTGCTGTCTTTCCATATCTTTGGGGTCCCCGCCCACTCCTGGAATATACCCTTCATAAGTCATTTGCCCACAAGTTCTTGGCTTAGTATCTGTTATTGGAATCAAAGTGAAGGCAGTCTCATCTGTGTGGCACGTCTGTGTGCATTCATATTTGTGTATAATTTTAATCAGGTTCAAATTTTCTGATGGAAAAAAAACCAATAAAGTTCTTTTTCAAGAAACATCCACATCAACATTTTTTCCTAATATTAACCATATATTTTCTGAATAACCAAGAGAGACAATCAGGCCCCAGTGAGGAAGGCAGGGTAGTTTAGTACACTGGGGCTTAGGTGCCAACCGAAGCAGAGACCTGGGTTCAAGTTCCACATCTTACCTACCTGGAGTCTGTGGATTTAGCTTTGATTTATGTTAAACTAGAATCCGGTACCTGTGTTGTAGAATTCACTCAGCAATAGTGAGTTCCTTATGAGGTTACCATGGGGATACAGACAAAACCTCAGCCCAGGCCTGATCCACAGAAAAGCTCAGGAAAGGCCCGCTGCCATTGCTGGACTGAATGACCATGCACACAGCCACCCGCAACAAGCGATCAGAAGCTAGGTATACTCACTTGCAACGTAGTGTCGAAGACAACAAGCTTTGAACTGGTTGGAACGATGTCATAACACTTGTGTGACCTCATGAATCGCATATAAACGCCACTTTCTGAGTCTTCTGCAAAAAAGAAAAGGCAATGGGTTGCAATAAACTGCTCTCACCTCGGTGGACAGAAACTGCGATCCCAAGACCCACTGCTAATGACTTGATGGGAAGAGGGTAGCCACTCCTGCTATTTAAAGATTGTTCCCAAAGTCCTAGCTGGCCTATTAGGATGGGAGGTGGAGGTGTGGGAGAAAGGCCTACAAACTGAAAAGGAGCCCTAGCCCCTCCCCACAGACTATCTGTGTATGATATACTTGACTAACAAATGCTTTTGGACAGGCAGGAAGTCTCATCACATTCCTCTGAAGGCACTAGGTCTACTTTTCTTATCAACTTTCACTTTCTATCTTGTTAACACTGATTCTAACTCTACTTTCATTCTAAACTCTATTTTCCTTCCTGGGCAGTTTCTTTTAGTCATCAGACTCTTACTCAAGTAATTAATTTGTTCAGCTCACAAATACCTACTGCATGTGGCTTAGTGTAGGTCCTTCCCAAAGCTGACTCTTAAGACCATGGGGGTGAGTGAGACGAGAGAACAGAGAAAAAGAACAAAAACAAAAAAACTCAAAAGATAAGGCTGCTCTCACGAGCAGGTTACAGTTTGATGTAACTAGAGACCAAGGAATAAAGGAGGATGCTCCAAGATCTTGGGTACAGAACTGTCTTCCAGCAGGAGACAGTATCCCTGCCCTGCGGGGTCAGGGGCTATTCCTGGGGGTTACCTGTAGGTTTTCTGCCCTGAAGCATAACTACCAAATGCCTGTGGGCAGAGGTGGTAAAACAGGAGAACACGGGTTATACAAACCCCCTGCCATTTGTACCCCACAGCTCCCAGTGAGTCAGGGGTGGAGGCTGTGACACTTAACAATAGGGAACAATACAGACTGTGACTGCAGTCCTCAGGCTATCAAGCACACTGCAGAGGACAAGGTGCCACTCATGAGGGCTGGAAACTGGTGACGGCTCAGTTCCTGGATAAGTGGGTGGAACTGAAGTTGGTGTGTGGCTATCTTTTCTTGAAATATTTATCTACCAGGGAAATGGGGTCCTGGCCAGGAAGAACAGCAACTCTGAAAGAATAGAAGACAGGGAGGTTCTGATCCAATTCTGCCATCACTGATAGCGCTAGGTTCTTCATAAGCTGTTCTGTGGGCAACATCAGTTCAGTTTACTCTCTTTATCCAGTACCCAAGTTACCAGTTGCTTGCTCAATCAGAATTCAGATGAATGAAATCAAGACAGACACCAGCAACAATAAAATATAACCCCAAGTACACTTTACAAGACATTCTGATTTAACTAAAATCAAGCCTTTTTGGTTAGAGTGTAAATCAGGAGTGTGGTGTTTGCTTCATATGCATTTGAGTGTCAGCATCCCCACCAGGGCCAAACAGACTAACCAGGCTTTTCATAAGAACTGTGCACACTCTACATGTCTGTATTTCTCTCAATATTTAAAATAAAAATCTGAAAAACCTTTGTAGCAGGATTATTCAAACTTGAATTTTTTAAAAAAATCTGTAAATTTTGGGTTAAACATATTTTGAATGTAACTGTCTTGAAATCCCCTTGATTAAAAATAATTATTTGCATGTGTGTCTATATTGGATGTATAGCACAGGAGTGCAGGTACCCACAGAAGCCAGAAGAGGGCACCAGATGATCTAGAGTTGGATATAAGCAGTTGTGAGCTGCCCAATGTGGACACTAGCATCTGAAGTGGGGTCCTCTGGAAGAGCAGTAAGCACTCCTAACCGCTGAGCCATCTCTCTGCTAGCCCTTCTTTCTTTCTTCCACTGGCTTTTACTTTCAGAATACGGCTATTCTCTTGGTTAGTCCTCTGTAGAAATGCCCACACACACTCAGAGGTGTGCCACATTAAGTTAGGTGCTTCATGGCTAGTGAAGTTGACAAGATTAACAACCACAGGGCCTGTGAGGTAGTTCAACAGGCAGGGATTTTATGCCACAGCTGGATGACCTGAGTGAGTTTAATGCCTGGAACCCACATAAAGGTGGGAGAAGAGAACCAAACACACATATGCAAACGTTACATGGTCCTTGCTCTACCTCATGCACACGCAATAAATAAAATTATACTAAGATGAGTCATCCCAAGTCCATCTCTTGACAACTTGACACCTAAATACCCCTCTGGAGAAAGAATCTCCTGTGAAATGTATAGAAACATCAGCTCTCAATAACATGCTACTGGCCTATTAGATTGAGCAGGAAACAGGGAGGTGGAAGTTCTGGTATCAAGAGAGACTTCTGGATAGAGTCAGGAGAGGGGGAGGAACTCTGAGAAAGATGGTTGCATGAAACTGAAGGAGACGTAACCAGCCACATGGCATGACTTAAACTAGTTTAAACGGGATAACTGAGTTATGTATGAGCTGGCAGAAATGAACCAAAGCTATTGGCCTACACACTTATTCATGTATAAGAAGTCTCAGGATCTTTATGTCAGGGAATTCGGGGGCACAGGTGGGAAAGCCCACAGTTACATCCTAACATTCTACCCTTGGCCTCTAAAAGGCTCAAATTAACTGCTTAAAAGTCCAAGCCCAGTCTCTTCCCAGACTCAAGGCACACTCAACCACCGGTGCTTATAAGCTGCAAAGTGGCTTGAATCACACTCCCTGAACCAAGACAATGTCTCTTCTGGGCAGACTAAAGGTCACTCAGATCTCTCTGCTCTGGTTTTGCTCAAATTTTGATTATAAACTTGGTTAGAAGCAGGGAGCGATCCCTGTGCCACAGGTAACATGTAACATGAATGGTCTTGAATCAGTTTGGACTGGCATTCTGGCACCTTCTAAGCACCTAGCACAACAGCTTGCTAAGCTGCAGAGTCTCCCAGCCTGGATCGTCAATAGTTATATATTCCCTACATCCCTCCTTCATCATCAATATTTATGCATTCTCTACATCTCTGTCCCAAATCCTTATGAACCACAGAGTCAGAACAGTGAACAACAGTCCAGCTTCTCTGGTGCTGATTGTCAATGTTAGTTACTTGGATTTATGTGAATGTGTGTGTGTGTGTACAAGTGCAGTGCCTTTGCACCCAAAGAGAAGAGGGTGGTGAATCACTGCAGCTGAAGTTACAGGTGGTTGTGTGTGGCCTTGTGTGGGTGCAGGGGTCTGAACCAGGGTCCTGTAGAACAGCAGTCAGAGTTCACTACTTCCAAGGCAAGTCTCCTGCCTTGTGTACTTAACAGAAGTAACTGAAAGGACCAAGCACCCATTCTGGCTCAGTTCTGGAGATTATGGTTCATGGAAGGCTGCTGTGTGTTTTGTGATGCCGTGTACCCGTACCAAGTATAGCACTTTAACTCCCGGCAGCCAGAGAGTAAACCTGTGCTGTGGGCCGCAACGTCCAGTGTGAAACTTTTCTCCTCAGTTGATTCTCTTTGGAAATGACCTAAGACAAACCTGGATTGCTTTACCAATCTCCTAGGTGCCTCCCAATCATAGGAGTAGACAGTTGAGATTACCCGTCCAGCTGCCCCAGCACACCTGGCACAATAATAAACCAACTGTGACACAGGATTATTAGCTTTCACTTATTGGGGGGTGGGGTGGGGGAGGTCCTCATTAGTTTTAACTGTCCACTTGACACAGCCTAGAGTCACCTGACAGGAAAGCCCTATTTAGGAACTGCCTCGCCAGATAGGCCTATGGATAGTCTGAGAAAGGTTGTCTTGATTGTTAATTGATGCAGGAGGACCTCGTCCACTGTGGGTGGCACCATCTCCTGGGCTGGAGATTATATATATATATAAAAATAAAATCTAGCTAAGCATGAGTCTGTGAGTGCACCATTAAGTAGTTTTCCTCCATGGTTCCTGTTTTAGGTTTCTCTCCTGACTTTCTTCAATGATGCATTGTGGTCTGAAAGTGTAAGGCAAATAAACCCTTTAAAGCCTCCCCATGTTGATTTGGTCATGGTGTTCATCACAGAAACAGAAAGGAAAGAGGAACATTAGGATTTCTGTATTTTTTTTTTCCCACGTGCTTATTTTCTTGTTTAGGAGCCCAGCCATGACAGCCCATAATCACCACGCCTGCGTGCGTTCCTCCACTCGGGCTTCCCTTTGCTTGACAACCTTGACAGTTCTAAGCAGGGCAGGTGGACGATCTGGGGGTTCTGATGACTTTGACTTGATGTTTTTCCTCATCTCACATCAAGGACACAACGGCGATATTGCTGACTCATCAATCTTGTCACCTGGCTGAGGATGTCCTCCACAGGATCCTTATTCCTCTTTCTGTGCTGTGTTCTCCTGAGCCCACACTCAGTGGGCCAGGAGCTGGGTTCCATCTTCCTCAGGGCAGAGCATCTACGTAATTTGGCGTAAGTCTTTTGGGGACAGTTGTTCACGTGTGTTCATGTATGAACGTACCAACATCAATCTGGACTCATAGGTATCTGTTGTATGTGTCATACGTAGTGTTGCTCAGAGGCTGGCTTTAGCCACTCATAACCCGCTCTCTGCTCATACACCTTGTGAGCCATGGAGCTCATGTCTGGTCTCACACAGCCCTGAGTTTGCTCTGCTTCTGCCTGCCTCCCAAGACTGCCCTTCCACTGCAGCCTCTAGTCACCCGATAGGGGAATGAGACCCTGTTAGAACTCTGTGCTTCTTGGATCAAAAGCAGGTGAGGAGGGCCTGATTCCCCCTGAAAAGACATCTTATGAAGCCTCTGGGTCACAGGGAGCCATGCTCCCGCTGTAGACATCTTTTATTTGTATGGTACATGTTAAAATAATGAACCCAGAGTGAGCATGAACCAGCTACTAACCAAAGTCTGCACTGCTCAGATTTCCTTAGTTCAGTCATGTCCTGTTGCTGTCACAGGTTCTTACCCAGGATTCCACATTGTGTTCAGGTGTGACACCTCTGGCTGTGACTGCTTGTGAGGATCTTTGCAGTGTGTCTCACAGCTGGGGTTAAGTCTGAAGCTTCCTCATGAGTAGACTGACTGTTGAGGAAGATCTATAAT